TAAGGTCAGTGAAATCCCCTCAGGATTTATCCTGAGATCCTGTAGATCCTTAAGGAGAAAGTTTTTTGGATTGTTTTGTTTTGTTTTGTTTTGTTTTGTTTTGTTTTGTTTTGTTTTGTTTTTTCAGTACCAGGGATTGAACTCAGGACCTTGTGCTTGTCAGACAAGCACTTATTCCACTGAGCTATGTTCCTGGCCCCAAAAACCAAATTCTTAACACAATCATAACGTAGTTACTTAACAAAAATTATTCTCTTGCACTGTGTTGAAGCTTAGTATACAAAGATGAGTAAAGTGTATTCCCTGTACACAGGAGTCCGTGAAGTAGGGAAAGAAATAAGAATAAAACTCAATCACTAATACACATTGATAAGGTTAGAAGAGCCCATGAAATTCACTCCTGGGAAGTGTTTTTTAGGGTGTCATATGCTGCATCACAGAAACCTCTGCACCCAAGACGTGGAAAGAAATAATTCCTGTGACATAAAGATGGGAGTACTATGTCCCTCTAAACAACTGGCATGGATTTGTCATAAATGTTCTGGAGAATCTGACTGGCTCTTTTTTTTGTTTGAATTGTCATCTTGAAAGCAGATTGATAGCACAACTTCAATAATAAAATAGGGCCTGTATTAACTACTGACCTTCCACCTTGATTCAAATTCATCTTCCCTAATTTTCTTTGCTTGTTCTTTAGAAATTCCTCAAATCCTCTTAATGATGAATGATGTAAGAAAATAATCCAGCTGCAGTGAGAGAGGTCAGTTCAAGGTTTTATGAGACTGCAGGAGATGGGCACGACTTAAAGTAGGGGAACAGCTGGAAGAGATTAGGAAGGGAATTGGGGGACACAGAACAGGTTGGGCAAAGGACTTACGCATGGTCACACAGCCAAGCCAGTGGTGGGGCTGGAATAAGAATACAGGACAAGGGCCAGCCAAATAGCTCAGCGGGTTAAAGTGCCCGCAAGCAGGCAAAGAGGCTGGGGGTTCAGTCCCCAGGCCTGCCATGCCAGCCCCGCCCCTGGGGCATGCTGAGATGGCAATTGAGACTGGGGGTGGTGGCATGTGCCTGTAATCCCAGCTCTTGGGTAGCTGCACAGGCAGATCACTACAACTCCAGTCTAGTAGTGAGACCCTGAACACTCTGTAGAACCTTCCTTAAAATACAGAAAAAGAAAAAAAAAAAAAAGGAATAGAGGACTGCTTGAGTCCAGTGCCAGTGTGGCGGATGGCTCTCCTGGCCAGCCTCCCATAAGGAAAGGGCTAGATGTTACAGTCTTCCTATCACATTTCCTGCAACTGTATTTTCTGTTTCACTAGACAGTATCTGATTTATCATGATAGAAAATTGGCTGTTGCAATTTTGCTCCTTTTATCTCCTCTCCCTTCTGATGTGTATGATTAGCAGACATAATGGATGACGTGCGTGTGTATGAGTGTATGTGTGTGTGTGTGTGTGTGTATGAGTGTGTGTGCGTGCACATGGTAAGTACTATACTCACCAATGTGAAATCACACATTGAAGAGAAAAAAATATATAGATAAGAGATCATTTATAGAAATAGACATGATGTTCGAGTCCTAGATTTCCATTTCCTGGCCTGTGATTTCTCTGTGTGTCCATCTCATTGCTTTTAAAAGGGGATGATTGGAATTGAGGACAGTGTTGCTGCGAGGTTTAACTGAGAGTGTTACATACAGTAAGTGGCACCACGTTCAGCAGTCGGGGCCTGTCGCTTCCTTTTCTAACCTGTGCCTCCTCTTCATGCCTTCACAGCACCATCTGTTTATACAAGGACGCAAAATAAGAGTCTGTGCTGGTCCTCACTGGGTTCATTTATGTCCTAGAGAAAGTGGAACCACCCCCCCCCCGACAGAGATTTGCTCTGCGCTCCCCAGAAAGAACAGCCTGATGTATAGGAGTCATCCTTTTCTGATTCTCAGGGCCTTCATGTTAGCTGGGCCGCAGTTGCTCCCACCACTCTGTCTGAGTTTGGCTTCTCCCCATATAGACAATGGCTGCCCCACGTCTCATGGATTTCAGTACCTCCTCTCCATTGGTATTCTGTAACTTTCCTACACCAATGTGGCATCTTTCTCCGGGATCCCAGCCCTTTGATCCAAGTCTGAATATAAAAAACCTGGGGTATTTGCTCTACTGTCAGTGAATTTATTTCCCATTTATCCTGTCTGAGATAAGGATTTTGCAAAACTAAGAAGATAGTCTTCAATACTGTTCAGTACAAATTTCATTTCTTGACCATCTATTTGAACCCATCAAATCCATTTCAAATTAACACCATAGGCCAGAAAGCAACTGCACATTTTGGTTCTGTTGGCTTAATCACGTGTAATGTGAGCACACTCCCAAGATGAAGCCATTGTGAGCTCTATGCTGGCAACAGGCATGTGTGTCAGGCACAGCCTGCCCCACCAGAAGCCCGGCTGCGTGCTGGGTGAGGCTCTTGGCTCTAATTGGTTACGGTGTCCCTTCATTGCCTGCTCTGTGTAAACCGTTCCATATGTTCTCTTAAATCACATTTCCCTGCTGTTATCCTCATTTGAAATTTTCTTTTTTAGCCACATAAATAGACGAACACAGTTTGAAAACCCTGTCCTGGAAGCCAAAAGGAAGCTACAGCAGCATAACATGCCCCACACGGAACTTGGAAGCAAGCCCCTGCAGGCCCCAGGTTTCCGAGGTACTGTACCGCGTGTGCATGCAGTGTGCAAGGGGACATTGTGTGACAAGCTCCCTGCTCTGGCCTGCACCATGGCATACTCTAGCTGGGGGTTTTCAGTACTTCCCAAACTAACACACCTGGGACCCAGAGATCGGAAAAGCCTCAGGAGTCCCTCACAGGAAGGATGGCACACTGCCAGGTCAGATTACGGGTTGTGACAATCGCACTGTAAGCTGCAGAGATGCAGACACTCAAAAGTTTGTTTTCTAAAGACCAAGCACAAGAATAAGGTGTGTTCTCCTTTGTAACAGTAGGCAGATCCTCATCAACCTTACCTAAGCCCAAATCCACCTGTCGCCACTGTGTCCCCGAGAGGTCACGAAGCGTGAGTGATTTGTCTTTCTATCAGCGCATCCACTCAGGAAAGCCCTGGCCACTTGGTAGGTCCCCAGGTCACAGGCAGATCTCACTTGCCTGGGAGTCACAGAATGGATGGGCAAGCACTTTTCACAGTGTATGGCTTCTACCTGTTTAAAAAGACCCACAGAAGAGGCTTTGGAGTCGGGAGGCAACTGAGAAGCCGACGCTGCACGGCTGCACCATAGCTGGGCTAGATCACGTGAATGTAAAGGCCTGCAAAGAATGAGTTTGCTGTGGGTAGTGCGATTTTAGGGGGCTCATTTTCCATTTATATTTTAAAGAAGCTCTGTTTCTAATAAAACTAAATGTGATATGTAAGCTATACTATATATCAAGTCACCCCAAAAGTAACAATGAAAAGAAGGATCATATCAGATATCTAACTTGGGTGAGATCTGAAGGAGAAACTAATTCTTTTTCCTCATGTGCCTATTATTTTTAAAGCATTTAATACACTTAGAAATATATTTATTGCAAACCAGAGCTGGAAAACCTACTACAAAACAAATTAGTCGTCTAGCTATAGGTGTGGGTACCAGTTCTATTTGGATTATTCAGACATAGGTTTGAATTGTCAAGACAGTATTTTAAAAATGTGTTACCTTTCCATTCATAATTATATCTAGAAGTACCGGCTTGCCTTTGCTCACAGTTTAGTATACTAAACGTCACCACGTCAGTAGATATTTACTTGTCTAGTTACCTTTATAGCTGCCCACAATGTAGGGCTGTAAACTACCACTGCTGCAGTCCCACGCCCAGACACTCTTTCTAAACAGGTTGGACCTTTGCAGGTGTGGCCACATGCCACTAGTGGCTCCTCTGCCTGTGGCATGGGCACATGCCTACAAGCTGTGCCGTGATTCTTTGTAAAGAAACAACCAAGACGCCCCATGCTGGCCTTCCCCGCTCCTGTTCTGTGCTGCATGGGCCACTCTGAAGCACACACCTCTTGCCTGGGATCTTTCAAATCTATGAGCAGAACATCTTTAGATGTGTCTGAATGTTGGGCTCCTTGTCTTCTTCATCTGAAGGCTCTGCAGCAGGCTAAGGTAGTGGATATAAATGGTGGTCTAAAAGTCACTCTCTGAGCTGAGCAGGCTTTCCTCTTGCCTGGATGGTTGGGCTGGGTCTGTGTCCGTGGGAAGATCTAGTGGTCTTGCAGCCATCCCTACTTGCTTTTACTGTATAAGCTCCCCGCATCTACGGCCAGGGTCACTGCCCAGTGGTCAGTTTTTCTTTCCTGAGAACTTGCCTTAAACATGTTTTTTCTTTTTTTAACTTACATCGGCCGATGTAGAAAAACCACTCTTCACGCGGGATGCGTCCCAGCTGAAGGGAACATTCCTCAGCACCACCCTCAAAAAGAGCAACATGGGCTTTGGATTTACCATCATTGGTGGCGACGAGCCTGATGAGTTTCTGCAAGTGAAAAGCGTAATTCCAGATGGGCCTGCTGCGCAGGATGGAAAAATGGAAACAGGTAAGTTCCTCTGGGCTGGGGAAAATGGCTTTGTAGCATCATTTGCTAAAGGCACGGCGTTGGTGTTTTCCGTTCAGAAGTCAAAGGTCACTTCACTTTCAGAAAATCACAAATTTGTATTTTCCCTAACTTTATTGATTTGAAATAATTTAGAAACACCTCGTAGTTCAGACTGTCCCTTGTGATTTCTGGAGCCACTGTACTCTTGAGATTGAGAATCTTCTTCTCCACCTCCACATCTCTTCTTGGGGATGTGGTTAACATTTCAGATTTTTCTGACTAATATTGAGCCACTGATACTTTTAAATCTACATTAATCTTGTAATGTTCTCATGCTAAATTTCCCAGGTTATATATTTCAAACGTGCGCCTATCTCGAACTCAGTTTTAAATGGCATTAGTCTTTATGTGTCTCCATACAATATTTTAATATATGGGGTTTTTCTAGTCCTTATAAATTAATTTCATATATAATTACTTGGATATCCATCTAACTTATAATTGAAATTATTTTCACATGGAAATAGAGAAGCAAATTGTTAAGGGCAGGAAAAGGTAAGATGTGAAAAAGTGCATAGAGTAGAGAAAAAAGTAATGAACTAGGTCTGATTTTAAATTCCCCTGCCTGGCCCATGACCTTGAATGAGTCCTGTAACTTATAAATATTAATTTCCTTATCTAAAAAAATGAAGAAATTGAATCTGAACTTATGCATGTAAAATGCTGATTCAAGAATTTTGCGGTGTTATTTTAAAAATGCCTTAGAGTATTATATAGTGCAGTAATTATATCTGCAAAGAAATATGATCTAGCACCATTTCTACATTTTTTCAATGATGATTGAATCTCAAGTATCAACTTTATAAAGTCAAAGGGTCCTAGTAGGTGCACAAATTAGGGAATTAGTTTTTTGAGGAAAGATTTGGCCTACATACTTAGGGACTGACCTTCATGAGTCTTTAACGGGTTTGTATATAGAGAAACGATGTAAACTTGAGGTTTTCATCTGGTATTTATAGTTTTAACAATCACCAATAATGTATTATAATTTTTGAAATGAATTCCGCATAAGTAACTTTGTGCAGGATGTCCCTGTGAGCCCACTAGTCACTGCATATGTACATCTCCTAAAGATTTGGATGAAGTTTCGAAACTAACCACATTTTCCAAACACTACTGTTGGAAAAATAAAACTACATCACGGGCTACAAGAGTGACAGTCTTCTACACGCCTGTTCATCTGGCGATATTTTACTTGTTAGGCATCCACACCTTTATGCTACTAAAAAAAGTCACAAACATCAAACATTAATTAAACTATCCTATTAGAACAAAAGGAAATTATGAGATTAGCAGCAGTTTAGAAGAGAGGAAGTGATTCACAGAGCTTTTGTGCTTCAGTGAACACGTGACAAATCCACTTCTTTTCTAGATGGAGGCCTGCTTGTTTTCCTCTTATTGAACCCAGTTTCACAGGTGAAAAGACTTCTCTCAGTGTAAACTTAAAAGACATAATAATGTAAAAATATTTGTACAATAAATCCTTTTCCTTTCCTACTTGTGTTATTAATTTGCTACACCTACGCAATCTCAGGAGCCTTATTCAATAACAAAGTCAATGCTTTATTTAGAATTCAGCAGGTTTTCTTCATTAAAGAACAATCACAAAGCAGCCCCTAATGGATGAGAAGGGCCCAAGATTTAAGTCTGTTCACTGTCTCCTATTTAGTCCTCTGTTTATGCCCTGAAAAAGTATTTCTTGAATTCCTTGCTGGAGTGGTTACTGCCCCACCCCGGCACTGCAAGGACGGAACACATGGGCCTGGCTTTCGGAAGTTCACTTCTAGAAAGGGCTCCAGACACCTGAACAGGCAGTGGTGACACGATGCGTCACATCTCTAATACTGTGATGTCAGCAAATCAGGACAGTGAGGGATTCAGCCACAGAAGTTTTTGAAAAGAAAATCTTGTCACTAACTATATAACGTTATTAGGTTTTATAGGGATGGAAATTCCCCTTGTTGGAAAAGAGTTTAATAGAACAAAATAAAATGTTTTCAGATATCTTTTTTAAAAAATCTACTTGCTTCTAATTCTGAGACGATTTTTTTTTTAAATGTGAACACAGTTCTGTGACATTCCACCATTTACAATAGAGGGAATAGCTCTTTCATTCAGTTTAGAAAATATTTGGTATGTGACAGATATTTTGCTAATTAGTAGAGATGCAAAAAGGAGGAAAATAATGTTGCTGCCTTCAAGAGGTTTACTGGGTAAAAATAATGAGTGTACCTTACAGAGTGTGCCAGTACAGTAATAGAGCTACGCACTTGTATATGGGAACAGGACGGGAGAAGTGGATTAATTCTGGGGCGATGAGTGCAAGGAAGGCCTCAGGGAGAGGACGATTCGGGGTTCCAGAAGGTGAACACACAGTTGCTAGCAGACGCTTGAGGAAGGTTATTGAAAGAGGCCACAGCACGTGAGGGAAAGTGGAGGGAAAACCCCGGATGAAGGCGTCCCTGCAATCACCGGGCACGGGGAGGCCTTAGTGTTTCACCTCCAGTGTGTCTCGCACAGCGGTAGTCCCAGGCGATAAAGGTGATCAAGTATCGAAGAGGGCAGATGGTCATCTCGCTTCCTAACAACAAAGCACCGCAGACTCCCACGTCCCTGTTCTGCAATCACTCGCAAAACTTTTCAGCCAGTTAAGCACAACTTCAGAACTGGTGATTTGCTTACTTCTGTACCTTCAGCACCTGAAACAGTAGTGGGAGTACAGTAGGCGCTCCGTAAGCGTTTGGGTAGACAGATGGATAGCGGCTCTTGTAAATGAAGATGTGAAATTCTCATGGGGAAAGTCTGAATTAGTCTTTTACAATATAGCCTAGTAAATGATATTTGGATTTGATAGCTCACCTCTGAAGAAAAAAAAAGCGTATATAAGTACTTTCCAGTTTTTTGGATGGCATTTTAAAGACAAGGACATGTGAGAGTCAAAAATATTTTCCGTTTTTCGCGGTGACATTTAAAATAAGCTTCAACACCTAAAAAAATTTATATAGACACAATAGATAGAAAAGGTAAATCATAGTTTAAATGTAGCCCATCTCATTTAGCATTGAAATATGCTCAAAAATGTTTTAATCAACTTTTCTAGCTATAAGTGATCTCTAATTTAGAGACAGCTATGTCAATAGTTTGGGTAGATATGAAGAAAAATCCACTGTGACAAAAACAAAAAAATAAAAATGACCCAGAGTCCTGTACAAGAGAAACCAGGCTGCTCAAAGCATTCTTTCCTCCACTGGCCTGGACTTTTGGGAAGGGCTAGAAGATAGGAAAAACCAAGGGTAGTGTGCCGCGGGCTGCTTTTTGACAACTAACTGAGTCAATTCTCAATGGTTCTATTATGTTCCAGGAAAGGGTTTCTCAGAACAAATTACTACACTGCCCAGGAAGCGTCTACCTTCTGATGATTAAGCATTCCACACATCCCTGCCATCAGGCACAAGATACCCTGTTACATTCTTTAAAGTGTTTTAAAAATCGAGTCTGATGGAACATGACTTACATGGAAGGTCCGGAGTTAGAAAGATGTTTGTCTAACATCCTTCGGCTAACCAGCTTCGCTCATTTTGTGAGGCTTCATGTTTTCCTTCCAGGCTAAGTTTTGAATGGAGGCTTGTGGCTTTGCAGCCCGGGAAGGGCTGGGTGGGCATCCTGACTCATCCACAGAGTCCCTTGGCACAAGGGAGGACTATGAAGTCACAGCACTATCTGGTAGCATTTGTCTGCATTTTTTGAAATGTTTACCACTTTTGCTACAAAGACCACGTGAAAGTCTCCCGGGGGATTACCTTCCTAGGGTTCTTCAGCGCCCTGGATCCCTTCACTTGCGCAGGTTGAGGGCACTGCCCTCCTGCTGGTAGTTGCTAGTTAGTGTCCAGTTTGCACAAGTGTGAGGACAAGACTTGGTAGCTTTTTAAATTTGCAGACCTGTGACCCCAGACCTGCTGTTTCCAGATTTCAGAGAATGCCTGGGGATGTACATCTATATGCTTTCAAAATGTCAAAACACTACAAGTGTGTAGTTTAAAAAAAAATCAAAATCTATATAATGCACAAAATACATATAATACATATAATGCATAAAATAAATACAAAAAATACGTATAATGCATAAAATACATATGCCAGGTCTGTGCTTCAGATGCTATCCATTTGTTTGTGCTCTTTTAGACACTGTTTTGGAGCTAACTTCCACTTCTCATTAATGTACTTATATACAGTGGTGTTGACTTGCCACTTTAGACATGACCTGCATTTATCCTTTGAGCAAGAAATGAAGCTTTAGCTCTTATACCCCATCCTCCTTCCCTTATCTTCTCAGCAGGATTTTACAAGTAATTTTAGTTAGGTTTTGTTTGTTTGTTTGTTTGTTTGTTTGTTTTTGTTGCGGAATCGGGGATTGAATTCAGGACCTTGTGCTTGCCAAGCAAGCGCTTATTCTACTGAGCCACCTCCCTGGCCCAGTAAAACTTCTATAGTTTTTGCCTTATTCCGGCTTTCTGCATTGGTTCACTGCACCCCGTAATGCACCATAAACACACTGCTTCTCTTAAACACCTTTCTGCAGTGCTGCATGGTCCTTCCTTTTCCTTTATTGCAGTGTCTTTCTAAAATGACTCCATCTCCCCCATAGCACCTTCTAGGGTGCCCCTTCTGCTGCCGTAGTTCTTGTCCTGCTCCTCTGTGGGCTGCCGGGGACCTCCCATAGATCTCCCCAGTTGCAGCCCTCTGCTGCCCATGGCCACACCCTCTACCCACTCACCCCCGTTCCTCTGGCCCATAGGCCATGTCTGTCTTGCCATCTAAAAGTCAAATACTGGACACTCCCTCAGAAGTTCCAGGGTTGTGGCAGAAGTGGAGGATGGGTCATATTCTTAGGTTTATAGGACAGGAACAGAAAGTGAAAGTCTGTTCTGATCCTTGGGGCT